ATGTAATTTTCCTTGAACCAACATGGCTGTCAACACGACAATAAATGCCCAATTAAAACTCCTGCAACTTGTTTTTTTTTATACTAGATAACATTTATATCCCAAACCTTACAAATGTTAGCATTATCTCATATCAATTTACAAAAATTTAAAATGTTATAGTCTTTAATAGAGTTGATGTAACTATATATGAAATAGGGATATCACATGTGGTCATAAAGTAGTCAAGCCAGGAAATAATTAGGAGTTCCCATAAATCAATTATTGATAAATTCACGAGACAAATTAAATATTGATTGCCTACTGATTTGTTGTGTATCCATTGGCCTTGGTGATATTACTGATGAGTCCCATATTCAATTATTGCTCTACTATAGGATCTATCCGCTGAGTAATTAAATAAATGGTGGCATTTACTGATAACAAAGGTTCATAGAAGCTTTGCTGGAAGGATATTAACTCCAATTATCTCGCCATTTAGAATAGAATTTTACCCAGATCAGGCTCCTTCTCTTATATATATATATATATATATATATATATGTATGTATGCTTTTTTTTTTTACATGTTTTAAAGTGACAAATTAATTGTTTGAGGGTCCCTTGTCATTCAAAATTTAGGCAGCCTCTTTGCGTTCCCTCCCTACGAAGGGAAGTTGGGAGGCACTTGCCTTTGGTTCTTCCTAGTCTGATCTAAGATACGATAGCTCGAGGTCTTCAATTTAAGTTCTTCTCGGCCAGATCTAAGATGCGACAGTGCAAGATCTTCAATTTAAGTTATTCTTGGATGGATCTAAGATTAGACGGTGCGAGGTCTTCAATTTAAGCATTCCTAATTTGTTCTAAGATACAACAGCGTAAATATTCATCCTAATTGTATATGTTATTTAAGCAAGCTAAAAAAATACAAATTTATGCATTTTAGTGTATGAAGAATGTTGATGACGATGATGAAGTGATTGAATCAATTCAAAGTTGCAGAAGATTTGGTTAGTTGGGTCGAAACGGGTCTGTTGGATCGGGTTGATCGAGTCTTCCTCGCACAAAGAAATCAGGTGGGAGAGGAATCAGGGGATTGGGTTGGGCCGGGGGTCTAGGTGTGGTACAGGGAAGATGGGAGACAGTGAGGTCGGGCTCGACCTAGGGTTTCATGTCCGGAGTCAGGTCGGGCAGAGGGAGGCAAGGTCGTTAACAAGAAACGGGCGGAAGGTGGGTCAGGATGTGTGGTCACCAAAGCCCTACATGGGGTTCTAGTTGGGTACCCATGCTTTACTCGGATGAGCTTCGCCCACCCACACCCACCCATGGTGACTTTCGGGATGCCATACCCACCTATACCCACCCACTTTCCATGTTTTTTGAATGTAGTCTGCCACAGATTGATGGCCTTGAGACTTGATGCCCCTTGCTCTGATTGCAAACTTTCAAAACGCATATCATAATTTATCGTAGTCGCAGCATGGTTAAGTGTTGTACACTATATAGTGATGATTGCAGTAATATAAGATATACGGTGATTAGCAATGTAAATCGATTTATCCTCTGATGTTGAGTATCCATCCATATCCACCCACAAGGCCATGGGTGTACCCATACCCATTGGGTATGGGTGGGTACATGGGTGGGTGTGGGTATGGGTACCCAATGCAAGGCTATGGTGGTCACATGCGGAAGCGGGCGTAGGGGCCGTAGGCAGTGGGTGCAGTTGTGTGCGGCTCTGCAAGTTTGACGCGCGTGAAGATCGAGCAGGAGTTCGATAGCTCTTGCGTACGTGAAGGAGGATTCGAGTGTGAGAGAGATAGTGGGCTTCCGTCCGGAGTGTCGTGCGAACAAACAAAGGCGAAGAGGGAGAGTCGAATAGGCTCCTACGTGCGTAAGAGTGTGAATTCCTTTCCTAACTACTCCCGTGTGCCATTTTGAGGGAGTGAGCGGATAATTTCGTTTGAGTGAATAATCATGTCTCTTGGGAGCGGATGGTTGCGTGAGTGGGGTTGGGTCTTTGATTAGAGGTCAACAAAATGATATATAATTTTAGTGTGTGTGATATTAATAATTATGAATCAATATTGTTAGAAGATGATGTAATTCCTTGATGTGATAGATTTATTTATGTTAGATTTAGTAAAATTAATGAGGAAATAACTTATAGAATTAAGATTAGGTGGTTAAAATGGAGAAGGCTTCTTATCCAATAAAATATATGAAAACTAAAGTAAATTTTATAAAATTTTGATTAAGCTGGCAATGTTGCATGGATCCGATTGTTGTGGAAAAGAAAGATCGATGGTATTTAGGTTGAGCGTGGAAGAAATAAAGATGTTAAGAGGAATGTGTGACAAAATTTAATAAGATAAATTGAGATTTGATTAACAGTGGAGTGATATATGATTAACATACAAAGATTGATAATAAGTTTAGGTGGTTTGGATTTGTACATTGAATAGTTGAAAATGCACCATTATATCAGTAGAAAAAATTAATGTACGGAGTAGTAGACCTTAGGTGATAGACTTTTGTAAAATGATTTGTGAAGAATAAGTTTAAATCTTCAGAAAATATTCAAAATAAATAAATGAAAAATAAGGATTCATAAAATTGGCTCCAAGCAGTAGGAATAAGGCTAATGATGATGACAACCATGTAGAAGTTGTATGGCATTCAATGCTATTGTCTGTGTGGTTTTGCAAATTAATATAAGAAATAGAGTATAATAAAGCTTACACTGAATAGGTCCTAATATTTATGCAATTGTTATTTATATTATAGATCTTTCTATGTGAGGCGAAATGATTGGAGGGAAATGAGTGAATTGATTGATTTGGGTGGAAAGTTCCATGTATGGAAGAGCAAGTGCATGTGGTTGCATGTGAGGGTCATTTAACATTAAATGCTCTCCGTTTTCTTTTATTAAATTCTACATATTTCTCTTATTGGGTAATGGAGTGCCCCAACTCTCTATTTTGAGAAAGCAATAATTTATGGAGCAATAGATATTGGTATCCAAATATGTCAATGATACAAAAAGAGGAGTCTATCAATATAAGTTGGGCTAGTGAGGTCTGCTCAAAGATTGAGAAAAGAACAAATCAATTATTTGTTCTGAATAAATAATAGTTCAAGTTTACGTAAATACATATGCATGGGTTCAAAGGAGAAATGATAAGAATTAGCTTATTTAACCATACTATTGGTCTTGAGATTCCAATTAAGAACATTATATTATTTTAATTGACTATATTAATATTTTTCTTTGGTTACAACTTATCATCGAAGATTGGATTTTTTTGAACAAGTATTTCTTCACCTTGCAAACATAAATATAAGATCTGTGAAGGAGACATGGGCGGATCCCCATTAGATTGAGGGGGGTAAATGCCCACCCTCAAAATTTTTTATTTTTTATTTTGGAGGGTATATTTTTGAATATTTTGAGTATTTTGGATATTTTGTCCCCTCTCAAAAAAAAATTTTGCCCTAATTTTATCAATCCTAAGCATTTTTGCCCATCCCCTCCAAAAAATTTTTTTTTCCTATCATAAGAAAAGAAGTTGGATCCGCCCCTGGAAGGAGAGTGGAGATTTCCCTTTGCCTATGATAATTTAGCTAGTGCTTCTTATAATGTATATGGAATTATTTCAATTTAGTGCCAGTCTTATCCTCTCATGCACGAAAAATTAATTTTTCATGTTATAGTTATATTTATTTTACTCTCATATGAAAGTTCCAGGCATACATGTAATGTTAATGAGAAGAAAGTTCATAAAACTTCTAGGCCATACAAAGTAAATCTCATTGGGTGGTGGTCTAACAGCTCCATTTTTCACAAGTACAATAAGTTTTTGGTAGAATTTTCAATACTTAACAACCTCAGCATGATAAATTCGAGTATTTCACAAATCTCACACCATCCATGAGCCATCTACAAGTTTTTTTAAATGAGCACAGTAATCATACCCATCAGTAATTCATCAATGCAGCTATCTTCTACATAGATTACTATATGTTAGCGGATTGCATCTTGTTTTCTAAGTGCTAAATTCACTTTTTTTAAATTTTGCGTGTGTTTGAAGCCATTCTCAAAGAGAATAAATGGCTCAGCGATTGTAAAATGAAGGAGAATAGGAGAAATGGGATTCACTATAGTACACATTAGAGGTTAGCATGGGACAAATAAAAGCTGTGGGGAATCTTTGAAATAGAACTTGTCCAGAATTTAGCAATGAATGCCACATGATAATTTGCGTGAGACCAGTAGGGCTTGGCCCCGGCCACCCAAAAAATTATTGGAGGAGCTAAAACTCAAAGAGGAAAGATTGCACTGGTGTTTTTTTTATTATATATTATTATTTGTAAATATTTAAATACTTTCTATGCAACAATGCATAGTAGGCTGTATATGGGTGTATCTGTGCATTGTATTGTTGTGTGCGAAATATTTATAAATATTTTGGCATACATCAATGCACACCCCTGCTATTTAGTTTTATTTTCCTTAAGTATGAATCTACAAAACATTTAATTTGTTATGAGGAATCCTATGAGATATTAATGTTTGATTGTGAATTTCACTCTCATTTGTAGGAGAAATTATTCTTTGCAGAGTCCAGACGGAAGAACCGTCTGGACTGTGAGTGTACACATTGTATATAAACAGTGTATATATTGATTATATATCTGTATATATATACATACATATATATATATACATATGTATATATAATATATATATATACATATGTATGTATATATATATATACATATATATATATATATATTTGTAAATTTATGCACAAGATTTAAAAAAAAAAAAATCCAATGAGATCAACACTGGAGTGTGTTTGATTTGATCTATTTGCTTGATGAAAGCTTAGATAGGGCGTTTGTGACAGTCTGCTAGGCATTTGTTCTTTCTGCAAGGCCTACATTTAGCTTAATATATGGTGATGAGTTTTGTGGCTTTTGAACTAATTAGTTTTGTCTTTGACGCATTTTGGTAGCAGCTTATGCCAAAGTCGCCATCCAGGACAATCATTTTGCTGTAATTGAGGGTACGTACATCTCTGCTTTCTCTTAAATTATGAACATAATATGGGGAAGGGTCTATCTAGTGAAGCTCCTCATAATTGATGCATGTTAGATTTGAAAAATATAAGTATTTCGTGTAAGAATTACGCCCCTATATGATATTTGTCCATGCATATCCATTAAATGGTCAAGAATATTTGTTCCTTGAACAGAAATCCTGTTGGGAATTCCCTATATAATTTCATCGAATTAATTTCAGAACAAGTGATGCATTAATTTTAAATTATTTTCTTGGTATTTTGCGAATCAAATATGTACCTTAGATTGAGATTAATTGTTGAATGCCGGAAAACTTTATTTTGTAACAGATCTCTATGCTTGATAGAACATTTTATGAAATATTTTCACTTATTATTCGAAGTAAAGCTCATTTGTTGTTGAAAAATTGTTTTCCTATATCCATAAATCTCAATGAAAAAAGTGGTCCACATAGTAATTATTGAAGCCTTATTATAGCTACCAATCAAAAGGTATTGAATTCGAATCTTATTTATGTGATGTGCGTGTGAGTTTACTGTAATTGCCCTACCCTAAATGCCCCCCCCCCAAAAAAAAAACCCCCACTTTCTAATTTTTCTTTATATAAGAAATCAGCTGATCCATCTTGTTTCTATTTGGGGATGCTAATGATTCATTCTTGATTTGACACCACTTTTGTTTAAAGTCAATCATTCTAATTTTGATCTAGCCAACATATCATAATCGGGTGATACATAACTCAACTTGATTTATTAGTTAGGAGCTTAGGCTATTAATTAAGAGGTCTTGAATTTGAGTCTTGTGTATGTAATGTGTGTGTGAATTTATCTTAATTGACCTAAATGTCCCAAAAATAAAAAAATCATAATAGGGCGTTTGATTTGAGTAATTGCTTGGCTTATCATTTTTTATTAGAGCTTGATTCTGTCTTTTTCATTATTTCATATCCTAGTTAAATGACCCTCTACCACATGTGGGATTATCATATCAAATATCTAAATTATGATAAATATTAATGTCAAGCCATTCATGTAGTGTATGATAGAATGTGCTTCCTTGTTTCATTTCTTAGCAGTTGGGCATCATGATGCTGCTTCTAACTCCAATAAATTATGTTATAATAAGCCCAATATTCACTATAAATTCAATCAAAATGTTCCCTTTTTTTTAACATCGTTGCTAAAAAATTCATAGAAAAGACTCAGCATGGTTTCTTGCCTTGTTTTCTTTGCACAATTGTCATATTATGGCAGTTTGGTTGTCTCTGCCTATTTTTTTGGAGGTTTTCATCAATGTGTTTCTGACTCATGGGATCCTCCGTCCTTATAAAATTCTTCTATTCACAACGCTTAAAATAAGAAGAATTTAGGCTAGATATGCAACTCTCTTACAAGCCAAAAAAGGTAGTCAATTGGTGATAGACACAAGCTACTACGAGCTATTGTGGCAAAGATATCGTAAAACCCTCACACCCAATGACTATCCAATCGAAGGCAAATACGCTGGCCTATTACAAGAAGGGAGAGTGATATACAACAAGTGTAAGTGCCTACATTCATTTTTAAGAGGCCATTGTACATTCAACACATGTATGCAAGCAAATAAAAAAGACCTTTAACAAGTGCAAGATCCTGCGAGCAATAACAAAAGATTCGTTAGCGCACAACAATATACCTGCAGAAAATAACAAACAGTGAATGACAATCTACCTGTATACAACGATGTCACGCCACCGGATCCGCAACATGCATACTAGCGGATAGAAGACGTGCACAAATTCACAAATGAAGCCCTACTCACTTCTCAACAAATCTTCAAAAGCAGCAAACAACTCATGGTGCCACGCCACCGAATCTGCAACCTGTATATAAGCAGATAGAAGGTATGTATGAACTTCTCAATAGAACACTGCATTCCAATGAGGGTTTCCCACACAACTGAGCAGCATTAAATATGTTCAAAATGCCCCCGCACATGCACTGTAATATGTATACACATAGTTACACAAAAGGGACAAGTGCAATCATAAAACCCGCATGGATCCCGGCAAGCGTGTTATGAGTACACGCGTGATGTCTAGGGATTTGAGCGGGTCAATAAATGAACATAGTTTAAGCCCAATCCTTCTATATAGATAGATAGGAGTTGATACGGCTCGAATTGTCAAATAGATATACGGTTAAGGTGTCAACCATAATATTTGTTTTATTCGTTCATATAAGGCCTTCAAGCCCTATGACTAGAGAAATTCATCAATGAAGACATAAAGCCTATAAAACCTGATTCTCTGTCAACAGTTTGGTGGAGTCGACAAGGTTTAATTCATGAATGGAATAGCCCATTAATGGCCCGATGATGGTCGTGTTGAACATACATCTCAACCATAGGGTTAATTTCAAATATCTTCAAAAAGTCACCCAAATGCTCATTAAAACTCCAATACTCCACAAAAATTTTCAAACTTCTAAAAATTCTAAAGTCCAACATGTTTAAAATTGAAAATCCAATCATCCGATCACTTAAAATAAAATTAATCCACCCTCTACAACAGTTTGTCGAGGTTGATAAATTGAAAATACTTCAGCTCACAAAGAGCTAATGTCTGGTCGAGAATATAACTAGGATTCATTCTCAAATAATGTTTTGCTAGTAAGTACGTGTTATGTATCCTCTAAACAGCGATTTTGCTGCCAAATGGCACTACAGGTAAACGGTTATGACCCGGGGCCCTCTGAACCGAATGGTTTTGCCGCCAAATGATACCACTAAATTATGATTATGGCCAGAGCCAATACGTTCCTTTGTTACATCATATCTTTGAGATATGAATAAATATGATATAATTGATAGAGCACAAAGCCCTATTAGCTAAGGTGAATTCAAATTTATCCCCTTAGGCAAATAGTCACCCCATGTCTATAAGGTACCCTTGGACGAAGCAACCCATGATTGCCGACAAGGATTCTTCTGTCAGGTTGGTTCGACTACCTCATATGACTAAGTAGACCAAGGACCACGATGGCCCGGGATGACGAAACTATGAGATTTTGATCGGACCCATCATCCATCCTCCCACCATCAGCTTTAACTGGAAGATGGTGAAATTTATGTTTTAAACATCAAATTTTCAAATTCCCAAACACATGCTGCTTCTATATGTCAGATAATGTGTATCTCTACGTATATGATTGACGACTAACCTTAATCGAAAGTTCTCTCTCGTTGCCGAGAGAAGTAATTAACTATAGGGGCTTGCGCTTATAGGAAACCAAAACTCAGATCATAAAATCCTCGCAAAATGAGTGTGAAATCTCTGGGTAGTGTCTTATCTACAAATTCATTTGCCTTCTCAAAATTCATCCCGGAATTTAATTCGTTAAAACTCCCCCAAGGAAAAGCATCGGGGGAGGTTGGGGCCGAATTTCGAAGCCCACGAGACCATTCCATTGGCTCATTGGGAACCTAAAGGAGCCATAGCAACAAGCCAAGAACTACCTCTTCTCCCCCTCCTCTTCATAGAAAATCATCTAGTTTGTATGAAGAACAATTAGCCCGACTCACATAGACTTGTCCTAAATTATCTTAATGTTCATACAACAACAACAACAACTAAATCAAATTTTTATTTCACTACATGAGGTCGGCTACATCAACCCTTCTTTACAACTTAAAAATTCTAAGACAAATGTAAAGCGGTGTAACGTGCAAGACAACTTAAAAATAATAATATTCAATCAGAACACTGAATGTTAAGAGCTAATAATTCAGTTCCAAGAGGGATGAATGCTTTCTGGCTTGATTACAACGAAATTGTGCACTTGCCAGCCTATTTTTATCGACAACTTGTTCTATTACTGTTCACTATCAACCAAAGATCTGACGGTGATCACCTGACTTATGACACATTAGGGCATCTCCAACGGAGAACTCCATTTTTTACGGCAAAATACAACAAAACTCCAAAATGCCGTGGTGCTGCTCCAATCGAACTCCATTTTAAGTGCTTCTGCGAAGTAACGATCCTTCTTCCTTTCGCGTGTTTTTCCGGTTGAGAGAGCAAAATAGCGTAGGTGAACAGTGCAACGCCAATATTGGAGTCACACTGTTCACCCGCAAGTAAATGACGGAAAATTTAGCGTTCGGCTGGAGCGACCGAACGAAGCCATGCACACGTTTGACGTTCCAGATGCTCTTAGATATTCATAATCGCCAAAAGATATTCCTCCAACTGCTCTTGGGGTCATGTACTAAAACCTCCACCGTTCACCTAATTCTTTTATGGCACCTCCAATAATGACATATCCATTTCATAAGATATACCCAGAGAGAATTTATTATTGCTTTATTAGCAAAAAAAAAATTCTATTATTTCCATTATCTATATCATTATATATGTATGATTAATTTATTTATTTTAATTAGAATTTGACATTTGAACAAATTTGATGAAAAATAAAGTATTTGTAAAATTCCTCACTCTGGATTTGTTTGGGATAGCTTTCTAGTTACTTTTATTTTTAAATAGGGAAATTTACATTCATACCACTTTATAATATCCTATTTACATATCTAATACTTAAAACTTTAATATTACATACATACCATTATATACTATTTTAATATCAAATATGCCACTCGTATTTTCTTCCTATCACTCATATTTGATATAAAAATGAACTATGGGTGGTATGCATGAAATATTAAATTTTTAGGTGTTAGATATGCAAATTGAGTAGTATGGAGTGGTATTTATGTAAATCTCCCTTTCAAATAGCAATTATAATTTCATTGGGGTGCTGTTTTTTTTACCTCCAACTGATTTTTAGGAATTTTAGTGATGAAAGTATGTTTTTTGCTATCATAATTGCGAAGTTGTTTTTTCTACAGCAACTTCATAATTAACTTTATAAAACGCTGAAGCTATCCCAAACGGATCATAAAGTTATTTTTTATATATAATTTTATTGGAATCAAATTATTTGATTTTTTTTTCTAAATATATTGTATTATGTAAAATAAACGGATGATTATTACTGTAGAAGTGGAGAAATTTTCCATTATCTATTTTATGATGATTGTAATAAAAATTACTTAAATATTTATATTTATGTTTTAAAAATTAAAATTTTAAAGATGATATAATCATTTTTTGGTCAGAATATTTTAATACATTTTTTTCAATTTTAATTAAAAATTATAGTTTATGATTATTCAAAATTTAAATAATTATAGCTTCGAAAGTAAGAAGGTTCCTCCTTATGCTTATAAATTATTAGTTGAAATAATTGAATTCCCAATCTTAGCCATTAGCCGCCCATCCAATTCCAGCCTAAGTAATCGACGAAGCCATCAACAAAGCCAAAATCAAGTATTAAAGTCTCTTTCCTTATCACCGTCCCCACATCAGTCTCAGCTTGTTTTTAAGTAACAGACAAATTCCCTTAAAGCAAGGAGCAAATTCAGCATATTATTCTTTAATCTGCTTCAGTCATACAGTCTAAATTAGATAAATTTATATCATTTTTCTTCTTTAAAAGGCCTCTCCTCAACCTCTCCAACTCCTCTTCTACTTTGAAAGCTCCTTCAAAGACTCAGTAATGGAGGTAGACTCAGTAAACTGCGAGTGCTGTGGTTTAAGAGAAGAGTGTACAGAGGAATACATAAGCCAGGTGAAGGCAAATTTTGAAGGAAAATGGCTTTGTGGTCTGTGCTCTGAAGCAGTGAGAGATGAGATCAAGAATGGATGGAAGAAGGAATACAATGGAACTGAGGCTGCTTTGAAGGCTCATATGTCATTCTGTAGTAAATATAAGACGAACCCAGCAATTCTGGTTGCAGATGGTATGAGGCTGATGCTGAGAAGGAGGTCAAGGGATCTCTCGGCTTCCACGGCGACTTCTGTTTCACCGTCGTCGTCGAAGAAGAAGTAGGAGAGGTCTTTATCTCTTTACTCTTCTTGCAGATTGTTTCACAGGAGAGGTTGCTTTGATTTGGAATAATGTTAAGAGTGTTTAACTTAAGCTATGTATTTTTTTGAATTCAATACTTCATTAAGTTGCTATTGCTATGTACAGAGAAGAAACGAGATTAAGTTTAAGTACTTATGAGTTACAATCCTTAGAATCCAAGCTTGGCTAGTTTTCTCATCTTTAGTTTTTGGCTTAGAGAAGGAAGTTTCAGTTTCTCTTACATAAGAGATTTATCATACATAGTTTTGCCTTTGTTCCATCATCACATCATTTATATCAAGAGGGTGTTTACCAGATAGTGTGGATCTAAGAAGATCAAAGTTTTCTCCAATATATCAATATTCAAATTTGTTTTCAACATAAAAAATTAAGCTTTTAGATAATGACCATCAACTGATCAATGTTTCTATATATATAAAAAAAATTATTGATGTTATCTAAGGGTGTGCAAATGAGTCGAGTCGAGCTCAAGTCAGGATGTGTACGAGTTGAGCTTGACTGTCAAATACTGAGCTCGAGCTCGGTTTTTGGCAGTCGAGCTCGACTCGAACACCCACTGGCTCAAGCTCAACTCGGCTCGTTTATACCCCTATATGAAGTTCTCAACGAGCTAATCAAGAGTTCTTGTCATGAGAACTCGTCAAGGATAATTGAGCTGATTAAGAAAATTTCCTAAAATTTAGGCTCAGTAGATTGATGCCTATTTTAGAAATTTTCTATGTGATTCGTCTTCGTAGCGAATTTTATATCACCAACTTGATTCTCTTGTATGAAGAACAATCATAAGTCATGTGTTAGCATCCTATGATCTTGTATTTTTGGCCAACAATTCTATCATACTAAACCTCCTTGAGATATTTTGTTGGATTCTCTATCCTAAGCATCATCTTTCTCTGGCCTCTCTTGCTCTCTGTTACTTGAGTTTGAATAATATTTAGCATTAGAGTCTTTATATCTTTCACAAACAATATTGAATCTAACAAATTCTCAGTAAGAAAATTTTTTTATAAAATAAGAAATGATATTTGTCCAATGATAAATAATTTTTAAGGATTAGTTTTATTTAATCACATGTATTTATGAGGTAATTCTCTACTTGATTATTTTCCTTGGCTAGTTAGGGTCTCAGGGCTCTCTCCCTCTTTCTAAACAGATTAATTATTATGTGGAGACCAATCAAAATGTGACACGTCATCCTGTGCTCGATACTGCAGCTTGGTACCATTCCGTGGCGTATTCTGGTTGATCTCCAAATGACATTCCACGTCTGATCTCCGCACAATAATTTCTCTTCTAAATGAGTTTTCTAACTTTCCTGCTCTGGAAACTTAACCAATGTAGTCATCAAGGCAAAGATTTTCCATTTTCTACATAAAATATTCAAAAATTTCTATAATTAGTTCATAAATACCAGACCTATGAAATTGAAAGTCTCCTCAGAATAATTGAAATGAAAAGTACTTCGCATCCTGGTGCTCCATTTACATACAAATATGGTATATAGTACTTGATGCGCATGAAGCAAGGTAGGCTGTAAAATTTTGTATCAAAATATTCAGACTCAAGAAAAAAATTAATAGTAATTGAATTTAGTTTGTAATTTAATAATTGATTGATAAATAATTTACTATATTCATCTAAAAAAATCAATAAATATAAATTTATTATAATAAAATTTAAATCAGAATATCCTAACCTAATTTTTTTTTCAAAGTGAGACCTATGAGCCGTGCATCAATGGTAGTTCATCACATATCCATGCTAAGAGACATCATCATGAGCATAAATGAACATTTTTATCAACCTAGGCTTCGTTTGATCGAGATAATTTTTTTACTATTTTTTAAATAACTTTTTAATACAAAAATCTCTTAAATTAGAAATTTTTGTACTAAAAAATTACTTTAAAAATAATAAAAAGCTATCCCAAATAAAATCTTAATCACATTACAGCAATAATTTGAAGTTTTGAACTTTATAGCAGATATGATTTTGCTTTTGAAAAAGTGTCATCTAAATTGTAAAATAGTCAAAGAATTGTCTTATTCTTGTGCACGAAGGCACTTCAATGAGTTCAACCGCATCCTTAATAAAGGCCAAAGAGTTATGCTAATGTAAGCTGGCTGAAGAAAAACAAAAAACAAAAGAAAAGAAAAGAAATGAGTACTCCAACACCAAGGTTGTCTCCAACAACATCACAGTTGAACTTTAAGAAATGAGTATCCATTGTCGCTTAGTTTGATTGATAGGCGAGTACGGTTGAGAACCCTCAAATCCGATTCCCAACAGTATTTGAATCCCTCGAGCGACAAAGCCTTCTAAGTGGGGCCTAATCAAGTGTGGGCCATGAGATTTTTAGGGTGGGCGCCTCTTCTAGGTCAGCCGAGGATTAGTCACGCCGCCAAACACACTTTCGAAGTGACAGTGGGTGGATTCCCCATTCAAAATAAAAATTAAAAAGAAAAACTTTAAGAAAGAGAACTCAGTATAGAAAGGTAAAGGGGTCTTCAATTCCCAACACCTATTTTTGCTTCTTTATTATTGGCATTGGCTTAGTGAAGGCATTGTACTTGAGAGCCTACTTTAGTTAGGTAAAGCTCATTAAAAACCTCCAAAGTTTCCTGCTTTTTTAACCTTAATGATCCACTTTATTGGGGACGCGTTTGTGATTGCTACATGAAGTATTTGATAATCCAACTTATAATCTGATTCATCTATGAATTTTATTATTGAATTCATAAGGTTGCAACAACATCAAGGCTTTTATTGCAATCTCACATTCATGATAATCCCACACAATTATGTTTGTGGCTCAATTGCCCTTTTAAGACATGCACCATATCCTCCCTTGCTTCACAACCATCTTTATCCAAATCTACCTCACAACCTCACTTGTATCACTATCATCTCCTTCAAATCATATATTGTGCATCTCCTTTTGAACATACAACACAACCTCAAAAACATCACAATCAATTTCTCTAAAGATTTACATCATGATCTCGCTTGTCGTAATCATCACCACATAAGAACCTCTGTCAAAATCAGCCCCTCAAGGCAGAAATTATTTTGTACAGAATCCGGACATAAAGAATTGTCCGGACTGTGAGTGTACACACTGTGTACACATAATACGTACAAAAACTTTGACACACACTATACACAAATTTATACATAATATATACACTCACATGTCCGGACAATTCTTTTCGTCCGGACTCTACACAGTATAATTTCTCCTCAAGACATGTATCACTTCGATCCTCTAGTTGGACCTAGTCAAAAACCATCTTAAGCAAAATAACACTATAATTGCCTCCAACCATAGCACTATATCAGAACACACTTAGAGAACTTATCTTGATGCCTTCTACATTGTTCTTCCTAATTGAACAAGTAAATCCATGTATTACTCCAATTATTTGAAGATGAATCAAATTTTTAAGAAAAATTAAAAAAAAAATAAATTAAGATAAATTAAGCACTATATTTTTTTCTCTACTAAAGATAAATGGAGATTAATCCCAACATTATCGGCTCAAATTTTGGCATGCAATAATTCTTAAACTTCAGAAAAGAAAGATAAGACAGCTGCACCACAAATAAAACTCAAATATCATAATATTAAAAAAAAGGCTCTATGAACAATCTCATTGTGTCAATTAAATTGAATTTTTTTAGAGTAACAAAACCTACAAAGCAGTTTCATTCCTGGAATAAAGTTCAATAAGGAAAGCAAATCAAGTATGGATTACAATTGATTCAATCAATATTCATAAACTAAGATCGGATACATTGCTTTCCCTACACTAAAGAGTTTCTCACTAGAGCCTGCCGGTTTACCAGCAAAGCATACAAGCAATCAAAAGCAAAGCAAAAAAAGAAAATAAAGAAATATTGGCGATTACTATACATACTATACAATTAAAGCCATTGACGGCCCAATCTCACTCTACATCCACCCGCAGTTATCTTAGCTGCAGTAGGAAAAGAGAAAACCAGATGCCTGTACTCATCAAAACTCGCCAAATTGTTCAGTGACTCGCAAACTATATATTTTAGTATGGTGATTTTGCTTTATTCACATTTCTGAGAAGGAAATTAAGGTGTTGAGTTTACTGGAATTTCTTGAGGAATCGATGGGTTTTGTGTGTCGTGGTGTGAGGAGATGACTAACCTCTGTAATGACTTCAAAGCTGTTGTCAGTTGTGCAAAAGAAGGTCGCAAACTTGGTTCTCTGTAAAGAAACAAAAGAACAACACAGGTGAGAAAGTCAATATGGTTGGGTTCACAGTAACCAAATGGCATGTGATCCACCTACGTTTGCCAACACTCCCAGATAATCCTTGCAACGAGGGGGTCAACTTCCTTGGGAATCTCAAGTCGCCGTTCTTGGAACCCGACTGCACCTACAACCTGCATTGGATTCATCCCTTTCCAGGGCATTCGGAGCGTTGCAAGCTCCCATAATATGACTCCGAAACTATAGACATCACATCTGCGTATAATTAAATCAGGATTATTGAGAGGCAATATTGCAGGTTGTTTTTACGAAATTTTTCAGTGAAATATGGACAAAACAGTTTTCATAAAACTAAGAGGGTGAGCTTGGAGCAGTAGCTAGGTTTCCTATGCTTTGATCTCGATATTGTCATTTTGCTCATTAGAGTGGGTTCCTCATAGGGTCTTGGTTATTTAAACTCTATAGAGTTTGATCTTAACATTACCAATGAAAATAGTCCAGTTTCTCTTATTAATGCATGTATAAAGCATAGATTATATCACCTACAACTTGGTCACCCATCTCAAATGAGGGTTAAAGCGTGAATGATGATGTGGGACGAATTTCAAAAGGCACCACATAAGCTTGAAAAGGGTGTTCAATCCACCATCCACGAATATCTTGAATCAAATTAGATTTGGATGAAGATCCCTAGTTTACCTTTGTTAGCACCTTGCTTCCAATGTTTGAAAATGTAAAATAGGATCTCACATTCAGGAAAAATCATAAAATAGAAGAATATGAATTTTTAAAATAGCAAATGAAATTTCAAAATTGAATGAATGACCTCCAATACATGACATCATTAAACTGAAGGTCTAAAAATAAAAGAAAATGCCTAAGCCCAAGCAAACAAAAACACAAGTGTAAGAGCCCACGATGAAGCCCAAGTTTAACTCCTTTATTTTTTTTTTTTTTTACATTTAAAACTTTCCTTAAGAACATACGAACTCTGACAATGGCAGTAATTTAATGGTGCCATTTGGCGGCAAAATCATATAGTCAGAGGGTCCCGGTCATAACCGTTTACCTGTGGTGTCATTTGATGGAGAAAATACAGGTTAGAGGACACGTGTCATGTCCAACCGGCAATATGCGGATTGAGAATGAATCATAGTGATGTTCGCTCTTTGTAAGCTGAAGTGATTTTCAAATTTGTCCACTTCGACAAACTTTTGCGGAGGTGGATGGATTTTGCTTTAAGCATTTGTGATTTATTTTATTTTAAATATCTTGATTTTAGGGTGATTTTTGAAATCTTGGATTTTTATGGGCATTTGGGAGGCATTTTCCCTTCGGTTGAGATTTTCAGTCAACACGGCCATCATCAAGGTACTTATGGGCAATTTTACTTTATCAGTTGAACCTTGTAAACTCGGTCTACTTGCCGATAGAGGATTGGATTCATTGTCGGTTTGATGTCTTTATTAGTGAATGTATAACAAAGACCTTGAAGGCCTTGTTATAGACCTTGAAGGCCTAATATGAATGTATAAAATAATAGTCTGATCGATAATCTGGTTCCAACAGTCTGGCATGATAATTTGATGTCTTTGTTAGTCTTCCATCTATTATTTGCAAGCGAGCCTAATTTATCTGGCATGATAATCTGGTTCTATAAATTTACTGCTTTAACTCACCAGTGGCCTGCAGCTTCTACTACAAATTCACAGCTTTCAATACAGATTCTTTGCTTCTGCTTACAAGTGAATTGTAGCGTCGGAGAGTTTTATTTAATTTGCTCGTGGGTAATACGTCGTCAACAGTCATTCAAATGTTGCCCACTATTGCATGCAAGTGAACTGCATTCGACGTGTATATTGCTCGTAGGCAGGTCGTAGCACTGCGCTATGGGTCGCCCGTGGCTTCTTACATGCAAGTTATCGTGCATTGCAAGTTTTATTAAATCTGCTTGCAGGTTTTCAATGGGTGTCTAGAGGTCACTAGCCGTTGTATGCAGACTGCTGCACATACGACACATTTCTTGTAGTGTCTTGTAGATGTCTGCATTTACCACAAGTTTGTTACTTCTTCGCACTAGTGTGTAGTATTCGTTGTTATCCTCTTACTCATGCATGTAGAGGATTCATCATATTTGCATTAAGTCCACTATCATTGCTCGTAAGTGGGACCGTTGTATGCACTATAAGCCTTCTGTTATTATCTGTGGGCAAGCTGCACTTGATACAAATTTTTTATTGCTACCCGTAAATACTTGCATTTGTTTGTATTAACTACCATTGCTTGTTGTGGATTAACGTATTTGCTAGATAGTTACTTATTGTTGACTGTAAGGGTAAGCAGCATTCATTGCACGTTGCTCTGTGTACATTTGCAGATTAGTTTGTGTTCATATACAGATTAATGTTGATTGTAGGGGGATTGCACCATTTATTGTGTAACTCTCATGCTTCGCTCATAAACATGTCATTATATTCTTAATAGTCTCTTTGAGTGCATTCATAGGGCAGCTGTCAGGGTTATGGTTTGCAAGCGAATCTGTGTTCATCTGCAAATTAGTGATGATTGTCAGGTGAGTTGCATTCATCGCCAATACCTCCCTACCTGCTGATTGGTGAATTGTTGCATTTCTCATCCATTTCCTTATACACGATGATCGTTAATGTAATAATCCGAATTTTTGTAAATGATTTTTTAATGAAAATTCTGAATTTCAACACCAAGCCTTATCGAAGAAAAGAGAGAGAAGAGATAGAATGTTCATCAGTGCTTTTCATCCATAAATTTTGTTCAGAGATTTCTTCTATTCGTTGTAAGTTATTTAAATCTCATTTTTCTTTTTAATAATTTTGATTATTATATAGATTTTTATATATTGAATAGAATTGATTATTTCCTACTGCATTTTTATTGTGGCATTTGCATAAGCAAGAAAGATTGGTTGTTAATACTATAAAATGGATTAGTTGTTAAAACATAATACCCTCCGTAGAAGGGTGGGCTGACGGGCTTTCCTTTAAAGATAGATTATGGTGTTATCTCGGTTGTAACCTGTAACAGATTACCGATTACGCAGATGAGTAGAGAGTGACGACTCTTTATTGATTTAATGAAACCACATGTAATGATAATTGATTAATTGAATATGATAATTGATTAATTGGATGAGTGATACTTAATATGACTGATGACCACCTGGGAATCAGTTAGGATAAAAGATGTTGAAAATACCACATTCAAGATGGATGTCTTGCCTTACTAAATCATACATTTTTGCATGCATATATTAATAGCTCTGTTGACATTAATAGATACATTAATATCATTGACAATATTAGATGCATTGATAAAACATAAATAGAAAATGCATATGAATAGATAAGATCATTTCTTTTAGAAATATATGAATGATTTCTGCATCATTATTTCACTGATTTATTGAATTTTATACAAATTATTGATTTTTAGATTCATTATAATGATTCCTTGTTTTTTTTATTGATCATTTAGAGTCTTACTGATAATATTTGATCATTAATTAAATTGAATGCTATTGAATATATTAGATTGAGCATATCATATTGATTCATTAATCCTTACATTGAAAGCTTTAGTGAGTTTTGGTTTACTGCTGGGCTTTTAAATTCATTATGTGAATTGAATGATTTCAGGTTGGGAAAAGGATCATGATTAGTTAGAGTGAGATTATCAGAGATCCTCAAGTTTTCTTTAAATTTTATTTTGTATATTCATTTTTCTTTTGTAGTCATGAACTTATGATAGAATAGTGATTAAAGTGATCTCCTTGCTCGTATAAATGATATTTTAGGTGAATAAATAGTAAAATATCTTGATGTATATGATTTTAGTTGTTTTCACTGGTTATTGTTTATATTGATGAATAATAAAATCTCTACTATATTCTTAAAATGATAAATAAACTATTCTTCCAAGTTCCAAATTTGATTCTGGGGCGTTACAGGTAAACTCTTGCATTTGCTTGCATGTATTTTAGTGTTCGTGGGAAAGGTAGGTTAATGCATGCTTTGCAAGCTTCATGTTTCCCATATATAAATTAAAGGTTTTGGAACATTGTTTGCAATCAATTATATATTCATATTAATTATTACTTGCAAATGAGATGCAAGAATTTTCCCTAACCCATCACAAGTCATTGCTCGTTCATTTTTGTTCATTTGTATGATCCAGTTCTTTAATTAACATTTGTATTAATGTGATTGTGTGTTTGTCAAATTAAAGTACTGTTCCCTGTTCATCATTTTAGGTTATGTTTCCTACTGTCCGTTGAAGTTCAAGTCCCCTTTGTTCATTTAAGTTTGCAAGTTCAGTCTTCTATCATTTTGTATAAGTTCAAGTCCTCTATCCTTTGAATTTTGGTAGCCTCCTGGCATCTCTCCATTTAGGAGAAATTTCGGGAGCTGGGTCATCCCGATCAAGCTGCGAGAGCGCGTAGTGTCAAGTGACACCGCGGCCGTAGTTTTCAATCCCACCATGATACGAGAGCGAGTAGAGGTCTTCGAGGTACCTGTGTAAAAGACTTGAATTCTTTTCGAGCAAGCACTGTAACTCATACACAAGTACTTAAGATTGTCCTCGTCATGCTATGAGAGTGCTTAAAAGCCTATCTGCCTCGCTGCAAACGTCGCACCAAGTTCCTTCCCACCACGCTATGAGAGCATGTAAGGTGGTCCACCGGTGCGCCTGCGCCGCAAGAGCCAAAAGCAGAGTTGAGACTTTTTGAGTTTAAGGGGCATTATACCTTGGCAATAGGAGGTCGGCGGTGTCGGTGTCGAAGGCATGAAGATCGAGGCGACAGTGACGACGATCACAAAACACAAAAAACTTCCCTCTTTTCCTCTTTTTTTCCCTTTCCTTTTTTTATTTTCTCTTTTTTCTCCTTTTTTAGACAATAATAATAATAATAATCTCTCTGTTAGAGAGAAGATGAAGGTGATTTGCTGTAGGAATTTAGTTTAGTGGGTTAGGAGGGGATTTTGAGTGAGTTAATATAGAAAGTAGGGCTACTATCGTTGTTATGCGTAAAAAAAAGTTTGGCTTGAAGCTAGAAAGTAGAGGGGGCTATGGTTGTGGATCAGGTATGGATCTGAAGATAAGAAGGTGAACTGGGCTGGTGATGTGTGCGGGGCCAAATCAAGCAGAATTTGATCGGAACTTGTTTGCAAATAGGGGTCAGCATTGGGTGAGGACCGAAAAGGATTGGTTCAAGCTCCTGG